CGAGCAGCAAGGCCCCTGCACGAACACCAAAAATCCATGCCCGAAAGACAGCAAGGCCACATCGCCCAGACGGCAGCGAGAGCAGCGAAGCCACGAACGCCACAGGCATGAGGGAAGAACACAGGCAGCTTAGCCGCAAGAACACGGCTGACCACCCGGGACACCATCACCCGCGAACCGGGAAGAACAGAACCGGATCAACGCAAAACGCGCTCCGGACCCAAACGCCGTGGCACGCAAACAACAGCAGAGGGCCGCCACTGAACACAAAAACGACACACCCCCGGCCCGACCAACAAAGCACCAACAAACCCCGGACCCCTCCAGAATGCAGCAGCCCCACCCCGCGCCAGAAAAGATGGAGACTGCTGCCATCAAACAACCAAAACGCTAAAACCGAAGGAGCAAGAAAACACAGCGAACCGACCCCGAGAGGCAAAGGCCCAAAGGAAAGAGCCGACGAAAAAACACACCGGAACCGAAGGGGCACTACCAACCGAGGAGAAGACAGAGCACGCTGACCAGAGACCAGGATGGTGCAAGCGGCGCACGAACAGGCCGGAGGTGAAATGACGCACAAGACAGCTGACTAACGGTGCAGAAGCAACACCAAGACCGAAAGCAAGCTGAAGCGGCACAAGGAGATGGAACGTCTGCCGAACAGAAAAACTCCGAAGCATGCAAGCCCGCCAGGAGTTCAGAAACGACGGGTCCGACGCGAGACATCGCAAGAACCCCCCAAAAAAAATAAAACAACAACAACCGGCAGGGCAAGCTAGGAAAACCAAAGAAGGCGGAAGGGTCGCCGCCAGAACAGGACCCGAACCAAGGGGCACGAACAACTGCAACAGACCGAGACAAAGAAGCACATCACAGGACACAGGCTGACCAACGCCTAAGAACACACGCAGAACATTCCTGCTGCAGAAGAGGCAGGAAGAAAGAGCAGAAGCACAAAAAAAAACCAGGAGAACAACCAGGGGTGGACAATCAGGCAGGGACAAAAACCCCACGCAATCCCCAGGCACAAAACGGCAGCAAAGCGCCACTCCACAACCGGACACAGGAACAAGGACACGCCACCGTGAAACACGGTACCAATGCTCACGTGCAGCAGCAGCAGCAACAGGCACCACTGCAACATGCAACATGTAAATAGCAACTCCCCTCTGCAAAGGCAGAGAACGGAGCAGGCAGACCCCAGACAGGGCCAACGGAGACACGACAAAACCCTGCAGGCCCGGAAACCTGCACCAGGCGACCGACGGCGGAGAAACCCCGCTCGATACCTGCTGGATGAGGTACTGGGAGCTCTTTGACACCTCAAGCCCGGCCCAAGGTCAGGCCAGACCGGCCAGAGGATGGCCCACCAGGCAGCTGCTAGGAGCAGTCCACCGGCCCACATACCCCCACAACCAGGACGGGCCGGAACTGCCATACGAAAACAGGCCAGTGCGCCCTGGAAGTCCACGGACGAACCAGCAAGAAGGCTTATGCTCGCAAGTAGGTCGTGTAACAAGCACAGACCACTGATGGTAATACAGTGTTCCCCAAAAGTGCCAATAGCACCACTGCACTCCACTGGTACTATCCCGCAAGTTCTACCAGATAGGCGGGACCCAAGAGCCAGAGCTCAAATCCTGCAAGCACAGCCAGGAGCCTCACCAGGTGAGTACAGAACCAACCCTACAACCCCCACACCTCACAACATTAAAAAAGGAGGGTCCCCTGAACGACTCCAGCATGGGTTGGACATGCACATGAGGGGGACAGGAAGGGGTGATAAAGGGACAGTCACTGGTGTGCGAACGGTCTCAGTCGTACAAAACTATACCTAAATAAAGACAGGTATATGAACACCGCCGCATCCAGCGCCCGGCCAAAAGACGCCAGACCGCAGAAACTCACCTGGCGAATGGTGGCTCGAACTTGACACGACTCAACCGTGCCCAGAAGAACTTGGGAGCACCGCCAGGTGAAGACGCCAGAGCCGGACCCGCAGGAGAACAGGGAGAGGCGAAGGAGGCGGTCCACACCCATGACACAGAAAACCGCGGTGTCCTCCCCACAAATGGGAACCAGGACACCCCTGGCGCAAAGGGGCACATACCGCAGCCAGGGAGAAGAACGAGAGGCGAAGCACTGTAGCAAAAAAGGGCGCAAAACCCCAGCACTGAACCATCGCCCAGACCAAAACAAACTCCACGGCGCATGCGCATAACACGCTGGCCGAACCGCACACCCTCCCTGCGGGAAGGCGCCAGCCAGGACTATTGCACGAGAAAAAGAGCCAAAAGAGGAAGCAGGAACAATAAAACCGGCCAAAGAAGCAAAGAGCCCAAAAAAAAAGGGAACCCAAACGGGCGACAAGTAGCCCAAACGGGCGACAAGTAGCCCAACCGGGCGACAAGTAGCCCAACAGGGCGACAAGTAGCCCAACAGGGCGACAAGTACTAGGAGCCGACAGACGTTCCAATAATGCGGGAAGTAGCGAAAAACCTTCCCGTACCCTCGAGAACACAGAAGCCAACACTAGTCCCGAAGGCACACGAAGGCGCAGGCGCACCCGAGATCAAAAGTCACGCAGAACCCCATCGAACGGGGAAACATGACAAAAACACCGTCCCAAAAAGCGGGGGAGGAAACATCCACCCACAGGACGGAACCAACCGACTCAAAGGCCAAGGAACCGAGCCCGGGGAGGGGCCGACGTCCAACAGCACGTACGGCGAGTGGGGAGGAAAGACCCCACTCCGCGTAACCACAAGCCCCGCCAAGAGGGGGATAAAACCCCCCACGGGGTCTAACAGGGCCAAGGCCCCCCCAAGTCAGCCCCTCCCCAGCCCCGGGAACCTACACGACAGGCCCCGGGGCCGAGCCGTTCCCCCAAAGCCCCGGCCGTACCAGAAAACCGGGGCAGCCGTGAAAACACTAAGGAAGGGAGCCCACTGGCAGACTCATACAACACGGCTGGAGGAACAGGCCCAAATGCCCCCGTCACTACCCCGGAAGGGGAATTCCCCGAGACTGCCCGAGTCTCAACACCACCAAACACCCCGCCCTGAACCTACAGACGGTAAGGAACCGGATGCAGGCAGGAAGGGTGAACCAGGGGAAAGACAAGGGGGCGTGGATGGAACCGAAGCAACCAACACCCCCAAGTCCCAAAACGAAATACAACGGGGCAGCCCCGGGGCTCCCGGGGAGGAAACCACGAGAACGTTGCCACCACCAAGGCTCAAGTGCAACGCCCCTGCTGCCCGCACCCGCTTTGTTAGCACAACTGGGTAACCGAGCCACAACGAGCAACCAAACTCGCAGGACACCGGGTCGAAGGTGTCACCGACCCCACAGGCAGCAGACGGAGGCAAAACAGAGAGTCACCCAGAGACAAAAGGTGAGAGCAACCCTCAAACTCGCTGGAAGCGAGGGGGGGGGGCTCTGGGGTCACATCCATCGGACCCGCGCGCCCCCAGGGGTTTCCCAGGGTCCCGAGCGTTTACTTTAAGAGGACTCGCGCTCAGGTAATCCCAGGCAGGGTACTGCTAACCGGCACCCAAGCTACCAAACAACTTTCTAAGAGCTGAACCCCCGGGACGTGTACACTCACGGGGACCTAGCAGGGGGTACCACCAGAAATACTCAGAACACAAGGGACACAAGGGGCAAGAACGAAGGCAGACCCCCCCACCAGGTATATAAACAAAAGAAAAAGAAAACCCCGCAAGAGGACAGCGTACCCAAGCGGAACAGAGCCGGCCGCTATGATTGGTAAAGACAAGCTGCACAGTACCCCGCGCCCCACCAGTGCAAACACTGCCCCTTACTCTAAGGCGAACAAGGGAGACAGAACACCCGAGCACACAAAGAGCGGCCGAAAACCAAGCGGTAAACGGCCAAGCAGGGGCAGGACCCAAGGAACTTGTGGAAGGTGGCCCCAAGCCCCAAGGGCAGTACTTACAGGGCACCTAGGGAAGGGAACCCTAGGCGCATGCAGCCCGAGTACTGAAGAATCACACCCGGCTCACGCACCACCTAGAAAACAGACACCACACTCTAGGTACAGTGCTGAAACAACCACTGGAGCCGGAGCACATAACCATTGCCTATAGCATCAGCCGAAGAACTGATGGGTGGATAGCCGGCGTGGGAGGTCTGGGGCTCCCCCTTCCCCCTCCCGGGGAGGGGGGAGCTGCGCAGACAGCGGCGCGGTGACGTATGACGTCATACTAGTTTCCGTGTTTTCTGTTGAAGAGTTCTATTCACTAGTTCGGCTTAGGTAGCAATTTTCACCAGAATAGGGGTTTGTTTTGGAATGCTTACCTTTCTGGATGCTTGACCCGGTCGATGGCAGACATAGAATGCTTCCAACCACACGGGGGTTTCTATAGGCCATTGCTCCCCTTGCCTCTCTGAGGGGGCCAGGTTCTGGCTCGTGGTCCCCGGTAGGCCCTAGAACTCCATACACATGACTGATGCCAAAGTCTGACATTAGCATATCAGCCGGTAAAGCTCCGGGGAGCCGACGGGGCTCCCCCCAGAAAAGATTTTTTTCTAGAGAATTTATCTCCTGCACACTGGGGGGTGCCATATTTGGAAGCTGAGCAGTTGAGGGGTTAACCCCACACAGTTCTTACATATTATTATCACTTCCACTCATACCCTGACACATTTACAGTCACTGCCTGAGTTTAAGTAAAATATATTTAAATGTAACATAATGTTCATCTACAATATAATCCAGTGTAGCTGTGCTGACCTCAGATGACAGGATTCCTAAAACATGTGGCCTCAAACAGGATCATTCTGACTCCTGATCAGCATAATGTCACACAACTACACTGAATGTGGCCAGCTATTATGAAACCATGGTCTAACAAGCATCTTAGTCTATTAAAACAATGCTGGTTCTGTAAGCCAAAGCTGTCCTGTTCACCAAGGATTCAGTTCTAGTCTCATCTATTCTACCAAAGTTTCACAGGCATTCTAATTTACTTTACCTGTAAATTATTGCACGACTCTGCTATAAGGCGAATTCTGTCTGTAATTTCATCTTCCACTTCTTCCTTGCAAAACAAAGCAGATCCTGATGGAAATCCCCAAATCTTTTCATCATTGTTACCAGATGGCCTTCCAATCTTGACTGAAGTATCATCAAGAAGATAAATGGAATTGGGATGAAGATGAGGCCGCAGAAAATCAGACCAGACACTGACTGATTTGCTCAGATCATAGATTTTTTGAGACAGTGCAAGGTGGTTCTCAGGACCTTTACTGAAGACACTTGAATCATCTGTAAAGCCACATACTCTACAATAAATATAAAAAAGGGAAAAGGCTTAAGGTATCTTGTACAGTACTACAGTTTGTAAATTTATACAGAAGAAAGAATATAACAGCTAATTATTAATTAGGTACTGCACAGATCTTACAATATTTATTTAAAATTATGGATTTTAGAACATTATTCAAAAGTATGGATCACACAATTTTATTTATAAGGCTACACATGATTATTTCCAAGAATGAGTGATGACATAAATTGCCATTGGTAATGAGTAAATTAATGGTGACCTACTGTGCTTAAGATTCAGAACACAATACAGTACAGCAGAACATAATGAGCCATGGTGATAATACTGTACGAGCTCGCTTATCCGAAGCCCGCTGACCTGAATATTTCTCATACCCGGCAAAAATTGCGGCCGGAAAATTTTCTGACAAAACTTTGGCATATGCCCGAAATGCTGTGCACATTAGTGGCTTTAGGTATTGCATGTACTAGCTCTATCTATAAATCTAACATTATGTTTGTAACTCATCAACGAAGACAGACCCCCCCACCAGGTAGATAAACAAAAAGAAAAAGAAAAACCCGCAAGAGGACAGCATACCCAAGCGGAACAGGGCCGGCCGCTATGATTGGTAAAGACAAGCTGAACAAGTACCCTGCGCCCCACCAGTGCAAAAACTGCCCCTTACTCTAAGGCGAACATGGGAGACAGAACACCCGAGCACACAAAGAGCAGCCAAAAACCAAGCAGTAAACGGCCAAGCAGGGGCAGGACCCAAGGAACTTGTGGAAGGTGGCCCTAAGCCCCAAGGACAGTACTTACAGGGCACCTAAGGAAGGGAACCCTAGGCGCATGCAGCCCGAGTACTGGAGAATCACTCCCGGCTCACGCACCACCTAGAAAACAGACACCACACTCTAGGTACAGTGCAGAAACAACCACTGGAGTCGGAGCACATAACCGTTGCCTATAGCATCAGCCGAAGAACTGATGGGTGGATAGCCGGCGTGGGAGGTCTGGGGCTCCCCCTTCCCCCTCCCGGGGAGGGGTGAGCTGCGCAGACAGCGGCGCGGTGACGTATGAGTCATACTAGTTTCCTTGTTTTCTGTTGAAGAGTTCTATCCACTAGTTCGGCTTTAGGTAGCAATTTTCACCAGAATAGGGGTTTGTTTTGGAATGCTTACCTTTCTGGATGCTTGACCCGGTCGATGGCAGACATAGAATGCTTCCAACCACACGGGGATTTCTATAGGCCATTGCTCCCCTTGCCTCTCTGAGGGGGCCAGGTTCTGGCCGTGGTCCCCGGTAGGCCCTAGAACTCCATACACATGACTGATGCCAAAGTCTGACATTAGCATATCAGCCGGTAAAGCTCCGGGGAGCCGACGGGGCTCCCCCCAGAAAACCAGCGTTGAATGTAATGAAACGCCATTTTCTGGGTGAGCCCCCGGAGGCTCCCTGGAGCTTATCAGGCTAATGTATGCTATATTAGACCGGGACATTAGCTAAAGAGTTCAGACCTACCAGGGACCAGCGCCAGAACCTGGCCCCTTCAGAGAGGTTTCAGGGAGCAATGGCACTGGAAAACCCTCTTGTGGTTGGGGTTTTCCTTATCTGCCATCGACCGGGGTCAGGCACCCAGAGAGGTAGGCATGACAAAACAAACCCCACATGGTAAAAAACTAAAACAAAAAAACGAACAGAGAGGTAGAAACTCCCTACAATCCCAAGGAAACAAGCAAACATCACACTTACTGCCGCGCCGATCGTCCGCGCAGCTCTCCCCGTCCCGAGAGAGGAAGGGGGGAGCCCCAGACCTACCGCGCCAGCTGCCAAGCTTCAGTTCGGAAGCTAAGCTTCAACCAACGCGAAAAAACTGACGACCGGTGGGAGGGAGGGTTGCCAGGGAGCCTCCGGGGCTCACCCAGAAAATGCCGTTTCATTACATTCAATGCTTGTTTTCTGTGGGGAGCCCCTACGGCTCCCTGGAGCTTCATACCCAAAGAGAAGGAAAAGAAAGGGCCAACCCGGGAGGCGACCACCACAAACTCCGCAACGCGAAGCCGAGACAACAGGATGCAACCTGCGACCCAAGGCAACAAGAACGCACAGGAGTAGACGCGCATAAAGAATGGGCGGCCAAGAACCTGTGCGACCCTCAATTCCCTGCCCCCAAAATGAACCCTAGACGTCACCAACACAGCAGCAAAAGCTGCAAACGTCCGAACAGCACGGGCGCAAAAACAGACCGCAGGCTGGAAGGCTGAAAAACTCTGCGGACGACCTGGGAGACCCGAGCCCTGAAACAGGGAACAAGGGGGAACCGGATCAAACCAAAGCACATCCCCAGACACGGTACGCAGATAACGGCCAAAAGCGCAACCAGACAACACAGGACGCACCCCAGGCTGAACCAATCAAGCATCAATAACCCAAGAACCCCTCCAGAAATCAGCCGTCTTGACCGTCGCCAGGATGGAGAAAGGCTGCACATGTACAAATCTACCGCCAGTACCAAGGAGCAGAAACCTGAACCGAAGGGGCTACCACAAACTGAGAAGAAGAAGGCACCCTGATCAAGGACCAGGACAGCACAGGCGACACATGAGCAGGCCGGAGGTGAAACAAAACACGAGAAAGCGTACGAAACAGGGCAGATGTGACGTCCACCCCGAACGCAAGTCGGAGCGGTTCTGCCAGTGCCGCATAAAACGAGACAACAGTAAGAAAACATCAAATAACTGTAGTCCAGAAAAACCCAAGAAAGGACAAGACAACCGGTACAAAAGAGAAGACAACGTACAAAGAGCAAGAAAAAGTGCATAGAAACACCAGGAACGACATACTGTCGCCAAGACGAAGCTTGCAGGTGGGACACCGTCAACAAGGTCACCTGAACACCACAGAGATGGTGATACTGTACCCGCGTCAAAATACGAGGAGAAGAAGCCGAGGAGAAGGCCAAACCAGTCACGTACAGGACCGATCCGACCTGCTGAAAGAGGCGGAGCCGCGGGAAAACGCCCCGGGTTCGGACACCCATCAAGCAGCGTCTGAAAAGGAGCTGGGCCAGCCACCAAGGACAGCATAAGGACTGCTCTCGAGGGAATGGGCTGCAACCGAGCTAGAACCCGAAGCAACAGCTGGACCGGGAGAAGAGGAACAGGTACCCCCACCTCGACCAGTCCTGCCAAAAAGCATCCAACATGAACGCCTCGCAGGCGGGTAAGGGCGCCACATAAAATGGGCGACGCTTAGACCACGCCGACTCGAAGAACGTCCATGGCCAGGAGTCCATATGTCCGGCAGAGCCAACGAAACGAGTCGGCGATGACTGGCGAATCCGCGAACAGAGGAATGAACCGAGACAGCTGTCCGCCAGGACGCAGGACACACCCTGGACATGAAACTCACGGTTAGCCAAACCCCGAGAATCCAGCAAACGAGCCACTCCAAGGAACCAACCCCAAAGGTCAACACCTAAGAGAAACCCTGTGGTTCTGGCAAGAACCGCCAGAGAACAGTCTGAATGGAGCTGAATGGTAGAGCTCCGAGTGACCCAAACCCTCCGAAGTGCAAACCAGACAGCCACGAACTCCCGAAATGTGCTGTGAGCCTGACGGACGGACAGACTCCACCATCCCCGGCCGACCTGGTGAGCACTGGTCACAAAGCCCCAGCCAAGAGATGACCCGTCTGTGAACACATCGAGCGAAGGCTCGGGGAGGTGCCAAGGCACAGAACCCCGAAAACCCCAAAGAGGAAGCTGGTGACGCAGTACCAACACAAGATCCCCGGAGGAACAAACCCAACAATTGCAAGAGGCGGAAGGGGAGTCTCCGAAGGAACCAACCAGACGCAGAAGCCAAACCCGACCCTGCGGGCAGACCAACACGTCGAAGTTCAGACTCCCACACACAGCCGAAGGCGGGTCCCACAGCCGAAGGCGGGACCACAGCCGTAGTAACATGTCTGGAGGGAAAGACAAGGAGAGGCCCAATACCCCTAATCAAGGCCCAGTTCCGAACCCAGGACGGAAACAGATGAAATGGCCTCCAGATCACCAGGAAACCAAACCCAGTGATCTGGAAAGAGCCACACCCCTGGCGAGCAGACAAGAGGACCGACTGGGAGCCCACACCAGCCAGTCGTCGAGGTAGGCCAGACACCGAATCTTAAGCAGACTCAGACAGGGCACCAAGATCCGGTAAAGATGCAAAAAAAAAAAAAAAAAAAGTGCCAATAATTGACCTGGAGGTCCAGGGCCACCATCCAGGCACCCGACCCCAACAGAAGCTGGACAGGAGACAACAGTCCTCTGAGGAGGGCATAGAAACCAGAGCGCAGACTGAAGAAGTCCAGAAGAACTGCAGATTCGAAGGCTCATGTTCTGCAAAGAGCAGACGGAAACCCCAGAAGGATGGGGCGGATCGACCATGCCCAACGCACCCACCAAGATGACATGACGAAGCGCAGGGGAAGAAGCCCACCCCGCCAGCTCTGAACCCCCCCAAAGGGGGGAGAAGCCGTCCACCGACGCCACCAGAGACCAGAAGACAACCAAAAGCGCCCACCAACAGCAAGACCATACGAGAGTCAACAGAGCAAGCTGCTCCCCCAGCGCCCTGTCAACAGAGAAGGGAATAGAGCCCCTTCCGAAAGAAAAAGTACACATACACATATATACATATCATGTATATACACATACACTTATATTGGGAGGAGCCATTTAGGTGACGGAGCGAGTGAGGCTGTCGTCTGCTGTGTAACTTGTCATGCAGTGGCCACTATGCTGTCTGGACACCATACCAGCTTATTAGTATAGTTATGGTGAATAAAACATGTACTTATATATAATATGTGTATATAGTGAAATAACACCATAAACAGTATTGTGGGAGGCGAGTTAAGTGTTGAAGTGGTGAGGGAGGGCTGGCTGGGTGTGGCAGCCCACTCTTGCCATACTAACATAGTGGTTTGCTATGGTGAACACGTATGTAGATAAGTATATACAACGTGTGTATATAGTGTATTAACAGCAAAAACACTGATCGTAGAATATAATATACATGTCACATATATGAGCCCCATAATTTTGAGCATAGCAATGTACCACACATTGAACCCACAAATTACACACTTTTGAATAATATTACAGCATAAAACCAGAGAAGAAACGAATGAGAAACATCAAAATAAATGTGAAACATTATACAGTATTCGTGGCAACTGCTGCCCCACGGGGTGGCAGGGCCTATTGACCTTGAGCGCTCCATTGCTCAGCTCCCATAATTTGCTCAACTTCCCAGCTCCATCATGGCTAAAGAATGTCACATACAATATATTTTTTTTAGTTTTCCGTGATCAGAGACTGCATTTTTACAACATAAGAAGAGAAAATAATTTTTTGGAAAGAATTTATTTTCGGAGCACCACGGGGGGTCGTATTTTAATGCAAGCAGAGCAGTGGTTAAGTTTATATATAATCTGACTCTTGTTTTAAATTTTCATCCTGTCCTTACTGTCATTCAGCCCTCCCATTGCTTGGATAATCAATTCCTCGTCAAAATACAATACAGTACTCCGCAGGCCAACACTCCTTATCCATCATTTACTCTGTACACATTACAACAATGCAGTTCCTTCCTTAACTTCAGCTTCATAATTTAGAAGAGGTTTAGCTTGATAAATTAAAAAATAGTAGAGAGTATATACATAGATATGAAGGGCATTTGGAGATTTAGCACTTTTTGATTTATACAAGGTAAATTTATGTTATGAAGATCAAAGCTGCATCAGCACAGGTAATCAAAAAATAGTTCAACTTCAGTGAGAAATATTACAATAGCTTTAGTGCAACAAACCAATACATATGTCCTTGTCTTCATCTGTTCCCCCCAAGAATCGTGCATCCTCTTGCTCAAGATCCATTAGATATTCATTCTTTTCTTCAGGCAATTGTTGTATCAAATCAACCGGGCCATCCCAAGCAGCCTCGCTGATCGAAGGTTCAGGTTGTATGGGATTGTAGAGAGAGCCACGACTTGGTAGACTGCATAAACTTCCCTTTACGTCAATACATAGCAGTCTTGGAGTATATGTTTCTTGTCTCTGAAAAGAATAGATTGTTGAGTGTAATGAAATGCCCCTTTTTAGGCCCTGCCTCAGGAGTGCATTGAAGCTTCACCATTGGCCATTACTAGGTCAATCCAGCCCTTTGGTACCTAAGAACTCTTTTTGCTTACCTCAATCTTACCTCCACTATGAGAGGAGAAGTCCACTATGAGAGTAAAAGGTCCTCAGGTTGATCTCTGAGGATCAGAGATCAACTTGATACTAAGGCAAACTGCCTTAAATGTAAAGAATGAGGCACCAAGACACTTAAACTTCTTCCATTAATTTTTTCAAGGGAAGTGCCAATTGATCAAAACCAAAGAACCAACGTTGAATGTAATACAGGCATACCTCAGTTTAAGAGTTTAATTGGTTCCTGGAGACGCCTCGTATTCCGAAGCTAATTTCCCCATAAGAAATAAAGGGAAATGAATTAATCCGTTCCTAACTACCCCAAAAACCCCACATCAAACTAAATTTTTATACCTAATTCATCTAAATAAACCTACAAAACTATGTTCAAGTTATTACTTACCCTTGCTGATGAATGCTGTAGGCGTATGGAAGATGGTGAGGAGGGGGGAGGAGGAGAGGAGTTACTGTTTGGAAGGGGAGTCCCCTTCCATTATCACATCAGGCAGTGAGGACCTTTCTGGTGTGCTCTCCCTGGGACGTTTTATCTGAGTGCCACTAGGTCCTGGTTGAGGCTCACTGCTCGATTTCCTCACCACAAATCTGTCCATGGAAGCGTGCTTTTCCCTTCTTCGCAAGCTCTCTCTGTAGTAAGGCATCACATTGTCATTGAAAAGATTAAGGCAACGGCCTACTACAGCTTTCTCTGGGTGAGTCTTTTCAACAATTGTTTGAATCTCTTCCCACATCTGACACACCTTCTTAATTACTGCAGAAGGGACATTCGCTACTGCCTCATCCTCCTCCACTGTAGAATCATCCGCTGCATTGTCTTGCTGTTCCTGTTGAAGGGCTTCGAGTTCTTCGGTGGTCATTTCTTCGTTGTGTTCTTCCACCAACTCCTCCACATCATCACCATCCAATTCCAAGCCCATTTGCTGGCCTAGACTAACAATTTCCTCAACAGTAGGTGCATCATTTAGAGGCTCAAACCCCTCAAAGTCTAGTTCTCTCACACATTCAGGCCACAATTTTCTCCAGCCAGAAATCAGGGTTCTTTGAGTCACTTCTTGCCAGGCTTTGTCAACGAGTTTTAAAGCACTACAAATGTTAAAATGCTGTTTCCAGAACTCTTTGAGAGTGAGGTTTGTGGCTTCAGTCACTTCAAAACATTTCCAGAAAAGTGCCCTTTCATAAAGTTTCTTAAAATTCGCTATGATTTTCTGGTCCATAGGCTGAATTAGAGGAGTGGTGTTAGGAGGAAGGAATTTAACTGTGAGGAATTTATTGTATCTGGGCAACAAATCATCTTCCAAGCCTGGAGGATGAGCAGGAGCATTGTCGAGGAGAAGCACGGCTTTGAGTGGCAAATGTTTCTCCTGCAGATATTTTTCTATGGCAGGGCACAGCACTTCATTCACCCACTCCGAAAAAATAAGCCTAGTCACCCATGCTTTTTTATTAGCCTTCCACATCACACACAAATGGGTTTTCTGCACTTTATATTGTTTGAAAACCCTTGGATTTTCAGAATGATACACTAGCGAGGGTTTAATTTTCAAATCGCCACTCACATTTGAACACAGCACAAGCGTAAACCTATCTTTCATAGGCTTGTGTCCGGGCAAGGATTTTTCCTCCTTGGTAATGTATGTCCTCTTAGGCATTCTTTTCCAAAACAGTCCTGTTTCGTCACAATTAAACACTTGTTGCGGTAGGTATCCCTCAGCCTCTGCAAACTCTTTAAATTCCTCAATAAATCGTCCAGCGGCTGGTTTGTCTGAGCTGGCTGCCTCCCCATGCCTTTTAACACTTTCGCGTTCCACAGACTTAATAAGTCGTCACTCTTTTTTCTACTGAATGTGTTCCAGTGACGCATTTTTGCGTCACTCGATATAAAAATTTGTAAAAAAAAAAGTTTCTATGCGATCTTCAATTTTTTTTTTTTGAAATGAGCGCCATTGTTTTCCCACAATCCTCCGTAGGCCGCATGGGATTCTGGGTCACGCCATGCGGTCGGCCTAGTCCTTTGTCAAACGTCTCTCGCGACCGGACTACCGCGCTCCCGCGTCCAGAACCTGTGCCACTCTCTGCCCTGTGTAGCAGTGTTTATTCGTTCCTGTCTCCTTACAACGCATTATTACTTGCAAACATGGATCGTGGTAAAGGACAGAGCACCTCTACCCCCAAGAAGGATAGTGAAATGACCAAGGGAGATAAGTTGAGTGAGCTGTACAAAATGTTCAGCAATGTGAAGCTTACCCCTAGTAAAATTCCTGATTTGTTGGATCGTTTGTCAGATGTGGAGGCAGATGCTGAAGGGGAAGAGCGTCAGAGTGATTTCAGTAGTGATAATGAGGGGACAGCGTCGTCTGATGAGTTTGATTCATCATCGAGTGAGGAGAGTAGCGAGGGGATTGAGGATGAGTCAGCGGATGTGGGCCGCCCCAAGGCACCTGTAAGGAGGCGTGCAGGACGTCTTCAACAGCCTAATCCCGATGCTGCCTGGTCAACTGACAATACACCACCTATTGTAGGCAGTTTCAGTGCCACACCAGGCATAACTGTCCCAGTGCCAATTACCCCCCTGCAATTTGTTCAATTATTTCTGACCCGTGCCCTAATTGAGTTCATCACAGTGGAAACTAACAGGTATGCCAGGCAGTTTATTCAGAATGCTTCCAGGCGCACTATGAGGTTGTGGAAGGAGGTATCTGCGAAGGAAATGGCAAGGTATTTGGCTTTATCAATCTTGATGGGTATTGCACGACTCCCAACAATGCACATTTTGAGGTTATTACTTCTTCATACTTTGCTGTGGGTAGCTCTATATATATTCCAGTTCTTAGTGCTCAGATTGGTATGTCTACATAGTGCATCTTCTTGCGAGTATTTTGACACCAAAATGAACAATGTAGCACAAAAACTTCCATTGGAACAATATTTTTGTTTGTCGGGTGTATTGGGTGTACCGGGCGTGGAAACGGGTGTTTGGGCGGGTGAGGCATCGACGTGTTTGGGGGTGTTTGGGGGTGAGGCGCGCACGTGTAACCCACTTTTATGCATATGTCTGTGTAGGCAATTTTATTGCGATCACCGTGATACCAAACAAAACCATATGCAACAAGTTTTGACTTGATAAACACAATCAGAGTAGCAACATATAGGGAGAGTTTAGCGGAGTTTAGCGTGAGCGCGAAACAAAGCACGCAGTTCTTTGGTTGCTGGTCGCCTAATGTTAGCTTTGGTGAAATGTTATACATATGTTCTTATAGTACATTTCATTAGCTACACAGTGATACCAAAAAAAAACACGTACATCGAAAATGAGGGTCACAGACATGAGGAGAGTATAAACTTTTCAGTTGTGGTTGAACGCATGTGCAGCTGGGCGCGCTCCGGCGGGTAACCCTAAGCCAACTTCCCACATTCCTGTGGGTGGGGCGACACCATTATTTATTGTGTATATTTATATGTCCGTGTAGGGAATTTTATTGCGGTCACAATGATACCAAAATAAACCACGAATAATAATTCTGGGGTTCGCAAACATAAAAACATCGTAAACATTGATGCCCGGTTTTACGCTCACAGCTAACGACCGCCACAGTTTGTTATTCGGTGTGGTTCTCATGTTGTCTTTGGTGACATTTTATATATATATTCCTCTAGAGCATTCTCTCGCGAACACAATGATACCAAATTTAAATACATGCCGCCAAAATTAAGCTCCCCACCCCGAAAAGATTATAAACATTTTAGTGCTGACGCGCAGTAGGCCGACACGAACGGCCCACTTAGGGCTTACCGTCAGCCTATTCCCAGGGAGCGCGAAAGTGTTAACACTATGGATACCACTTCTCCTTCTAAATTTTTCAAACCAGCCCCTGCTTGCCTTAAACTCTTTTGTATCTGCATCACTCGTTGCAGGGGTATTCTTTAGAAGGTCTTCGTGCAATACCCTGGCTTTCTCACAAATAATGGCCTCCGAAACACTATCACCCCTTAACTCCTTGTCGTTATCTTGAGGTTATCTTGAGATGATTTCGGGGCTTTTTAGTGTCCTCGCGGCCCGGTCCTCGACCAGGCCTCCACCCCCAGGAAGCAGCCCGTGACAGCTGACTAACACCCAGGTACCTATTTACTGCTAGGTAACAGGGGCATAGGGTGAAAGAAACTCTGCCCTTTGTTTCTCGCCGGCGCCTGGGATCGAACCCAGGACCACAGGATCACAAGTCCAGCGTGCTGTCCGCTCGGCCGACCGGCTCCCTTGTATCCAAATTAATAACAACTTTTCCACTTCTTCAAGTATTTGTGGTCTTTGTTTCGTTATTGTTCTGACTCCTTTTGCCACTTTAGCACGCATAATCTCATTTTTCTTCTTAAGTATAGTGCATATTGTTGATGTGGCTTTGTTGTACTGCCTACAAAGTTCAACAACACGTGTACCATTTTCATGCTTCCGAATGATCTCTTGTTTCTCCTCTATTGTCATCCTCACATGGGCTTTCTGGCATTTATCCTTACCACTGGCTTTCTTGGGACCCATGGTGAGATATATAATAACAAATTGTATAGTCAAATCACCAAAAATCCAACAAAACACTGAAAATCCGCGAGAAGAATTGATGTGGGGTAGTCATTGGGCGCAAGACAATGGTAAACTGAGGAGCAGAGGGGCAGAGGGGCGATGATCGCCAAACCACCACGCGCTGGGTCGGCCTGTACGTGTATCAACAAACTCGCGTCCCAAGGTAACCCTCGCGTTCCGAGACATATTTTCCGAGGAAATCCTGCTCGTATTCCGAAAAACTCGCATACAGGGACACTCGCATTCCGAGGTATCACTGTATAATGAAACGCCA